CACGGTCCGGATTGGCCACCTAGGATCCGCCCCAGAAGCCAAAGGAATTTCATTCGTACTAAACTAGTGAAGAACTCTGTATTATATAGGCACCAACTGACTAATCTCCAAGCAGATCCCAGGGTGGTATAAGACAGCCAAGGGTGGCGTATCGGACCATCTTTACCAACCATTTTCCATTATGGACACGCTTAAGTGTGCAAAAGCTAGATATGCGTAGAATCTTTAGAACTGCCATATGTTGTAAATGTGAGTAGTTAAGAATATTGTACCGTAAGCCCCACCTTTAGGGAGGTACCTTCTGCCCAGCTTGACAGGGTTTGACAAATAGACTGACAAATAGCCCCTGACAATTTGGTATACACGGAACAAAAAAAACCTAACATTTTTAGAGGGCTGTTGGAAACAGAACTTGGTGTATGAGTATGTCGGTAAGAATGGACTTCCAAAATTTTCAGGTTTTATCGCATGAGGTGAGGCGCACTTTATCTGAGCACCTGCTAATTTACGCCAGCCAATACATGGCAATAAAGTAATATGGTTTGTTTAAACTGTTACAGGTCTAACACGAGTACCGTCCCGCACACGTCAGCCGAGGTTGATGATGGTGGAAAGAAGCCGCATGCAATACTCAAACTCAAAATACATCCGTTGTTTATCAAGCTAAATTGAATGCATGTTGAATATAGTTAGCAAGGTACATTGTATGCGACATTGTGTATGTTTGGTCGGGATTCGAACTCCCAACCTCTTGGTCCAGAGGCACGGTCATAAGGTATAGGAGAGACATGCTGTGTTTTAATTTAGGTCACTGACCGACACCAGGGATTGTACGATATTTACCGGGGGTGGGCTGGTACGTTGACGGGAGATGCACAAATAAAATCGGGGCCACCAACCAACATATTACAGAAAAAAACCGTCGCCAGAGTCTTTTTTAAGACTCAACTTGTTTTAAATGATTATATATTCAGATTGAAGATGTTGGCTTTGGTTGAACATCAATGTGCTGCTTGAAGTTAAGGCCACACCAATTGAATTTGTTGTTTCTCGGATTTGCCCTGCCCATTTTTTTCTGATATGCATATATATGCCAAAAAAATTTTTTTTTTCTAAATCAACTGCAAAATGCTCAATGAAAGACATATTTTGGCCCCAACAGTTGAAGAAAGTCCTTTTCTTCCTTTTCTTCCTAGTTGTTAAAGTTTTTCAATGTAACAGTGCAATTTTGTTTCATGAAATGTTCAACATCTATTGTTTTAATTATAAACCAGCCTGGTATGTTCACTTCATGGCTCATATTGTAACATTTCCGGCTATCATGGGGTGCCTTGGCCTGTCTTTTATTTTTTTCATTTTGCCCTGTCCCTGATATTTTTTCTGAAAAAATCAGAGAAACAACAAATTAAATTGGTGTGGCCTAAGCTCTGTTGGAGTGGTGGCTGTTGAGTGCAGTGACCTGAAAGATCCAGAATTCAATTATCTCATACCTTCACGAAATATTTGAAGAGTTTTGAAATTCGTTCATTCCTTGTTTTTCTCGCTCTATGTATTTTCTCACTGGCTCCTGTAAGGCACCTGAGGCATGCATACGGCAGGAAATTGAAGACAGGAAGTGTGATAACCTTCTCTGGTTCCATTCTAGGACCTTTGACCTAACTTCCTGCTTAAAGTGCTAATTGAAACATGTGGAAGGAAGTATGGAAATACACACAAACAGATATATTAAAAACAGTAACGTTACCTCCATAAATCCAGGTAAAAATTTGATAGCACAATATATACAGTAGCTACAGTAGTAGGATTCACATCCTAGCAGTAATATAATTGGACAAAAGTAGACTAAACCAGAGAAGACTCAGTCTGGATTAAACCAGATCACCCCTATATACAGTGTAATGCATTGTGGCTTGGTATGGACTTTCAGTCCGTCACTATATAGGCTGATTTGGCAACTTGCATATCATCGAGCTACATGTAGTTCCAATTACCCACCAGACTTAGTGGCTTCTGAGAGGTAATTTCATGCTTTCAGCTAATGCCTTTTGACATATGAAAATTGCAAGTTATACGCAGTAATTATTGTGCATTCTTATTACTGAATGAACAATTGCTTTGGTTTGTTTTTTTTCAGAGTTTATTTCAGAATTATTAGGTGTCTTGCCAGGACTGAAGTAAGATTCATATAGAAGTGGCCCTCTGAGATTGATACTCATTTAGTTTTGAGGTGATTATATTTTTCTGGTAAGAGGGAAAAGGTGTTTTTTGCAGTGTTTGAAGTTTGTGGTTATTTACAAAATAATTAATTCACAGTCTCAGGATTTTGCACACACAAAGATTTTCTCAGTCTATCAGAGTTCACTGAGAAAACCCTGTTTACTCCTCCGGTTGCTTCTTACACAGAATACTGGTACTCCCAGTCCCCAAGTATGGTCCCTACATGTACGTCCTGCATTATTTTGGCAATCAAATACATTTGTGCATGTGAGCATGAAAGGGAACTTGTCTAACACAGTGGACACTTGTCTAACACAACCAAGCTTTATTTTGTACTGCATATGGCCCAATCTCTGCCTATCAGGACCACTTCATGGAACTACAATGTAGAAAAGGATGAAATAATCGTAATCCAGGATTTGAAAACATTTCAAGCAGCCCCCTTACTCCTTCTCTGAGTAATAGGGTACTCCTGAGACTTCCCAAAATTGTCACATAAAATTTTCTACCTCTTTGTAAGCTATAATTATCCATCATCCTCCTTGCTTGATGGCTAAATAGTCACTATGTCCTAAGTGTACATGAAAGCCTTTGAAATATAATTGTACTCCAAAAAGTAGTAAAATTATGCTTTAAACCTTTTAAAAGTGTGTGTAGATCTGTTTATGACCTTGATCTCTTGACTCTTTCTCTGTAATGTCTTTTTATGGAGCCTTATGAGACCAGGTAGTTTGAGGTTGAAGAAATAAAAATGTTACAAAGATTATTGTACAGTTGTAGAACCTGCCTGTAAAGGGCAACCAAAGGGCATATAAGGAAATGTGAATGAACTTACACCATTGTATACAATGTATGGGGGCCCGCAAGCCCTTTACCATAGGGCGTAATCAGCCATTTTAATTCTACGTAGGCCATTTTAATTCTATGTAGAGCGTAGATGGACCGCTTTAATTCAATGTAGAGTGTAATTGGCACATTTTGCGTGCAGCGTATTCGCCGTTTTAATTCTACGTAATGCGTTGTGGCCACTTGGAATTTATCGTAAAGCGTAATCGAGAAGTTTCTGAATTCAGCGTAGAGCGTTGTCGGGACCCCACTTGCAGGCCACCATGTATAGTCATAGGGCTTCCTCTGAGATACTGTACATGAAGATACATAATTTGTTACAATGTGCTTCACGGGAAGGAAGTATTATTTTGGGTGGCGATGGTTCGCTAGTTTGTATGTGTCTTGTCCAGAGCAGCAAGGATTGTGGGTGGGTGGAGATTTGGTTTCAGTTGATTGACAGGGTTGTGACCCGGTATGGTATGAGGTCACCATGAATGTTTACTTTGTTACCATGGTACGGAACATAAACCAATTGGTGTAATAAAATTATGGATTCCGAAGTAAATTACATACAATGATCCTACTGAGTGATACATTTCATCAGAGACTTTGATGTAATTCAATCAGCTAGTACACATTTACATGTATTTCCCCATGATCATACCATACAGTAGCTGTTCCAAAATTATATTCACAAAAACCCAAACACTTCGCAGTAGTTTGAAACCTCCAATTTCTTGTTTTAAGGCACTCAAGTTGCAAATTCTTTCACAAATGTCAAAAGTTCATATTAAGATGCACTGTTCCAAACAGTGCAATGACCCTGTCTTGGGTAGGGTCATTCCAAAACGTGCTTGCACATTGATGACTTCCCAGGAAGGAATTTTCAGTTGAAATGATTTGAAATGCAATAAAACTGGGCAGCTTGGGGAAATCTAGAGGACATTAAATGTAATAACAAAGTGTTATATAACTGATAACTTAATAATATGGATGAAAAGAGATGTTATTATTTATGAGTGTGGTTTTATTGTAGCACTGTTTAATCAATGGCAACTCCTTTTAGTTACCATGAGGTCAGTTGTGTGATCTGTTGTTGATTTCATCAGTGCTTTTTCAACAATATGTACATGTAGATATTCTTAGCTATGTACATTGTAATTTTATTATCATAATGGTAGGAATGTAGCTATAGGAAGTACCGTCAATCTGCCGGTGGAAATTTTTGAGGTGGTTCAGTAATTTCTACATAGACCTCACTGAAATTCATTTCACTGTTAATGTGCATTTTTATGTGTTCAAATTTTAACAGTAGTAGGAATACAGAGGTGTTTCCATATATAGTGAATCTACAGGACAGCGTATGAGCAGTGTGATTTTGATATCATAGAATTTTCAAGACTGTGATGGAATCTGGAATCAACCACTGAGAAAGATCTAAGGCAACATTTTCCATATCAGGGCAGCTGAATTTGTACAGTACTGGGACAAGTTAATTCTAAGAATGCCCATAACTGCTAGTCAGTTCAGCACCAAGGACAGGGAGTTTTCCACATTGTTTAGGAATCCTTTTTTCTTGGAGGGCTCTTTTGAAGTTTTTAATACACGTAGTAGAGGTAGAAACAGATTGAATCACGTACTGCTTACAACGTTGTGCCCTTGGGAAAGGCACTTTACACGACTTTCCTCACTCCACCCAGGTGTGAATGGGTACCTAACTTCGGTTGGGGAAAGTCGTATTGAGGTCACGTTGTGGCGCCGAATGGCAGCCGCACAGACCCTTGCGGCAGTTCCACAAAATGTGGAACAAATATGTATCATGTGTATTATTATGTGTATTATTACCATTTGTATCATCTGATTGTAAACCCTGCATCAATTCAGCACTATAAGGCTGCGATTGCACGGGTGATGTTTGGCCAATAAACCATTTATTATTTATTATTATTTTGCAGCTGCGCTGGCAGAGAACCTCAGCTAACACCGGTGAGAGACCACGTCTGCCCTGTGATCAGCCACCGACCTGCAACATTCCCATATATGGACGTAACAGTTCTTTCATACAAGCCATATACGTGTCAAGGTACTTAAGTATAACAGCTTGGCAAGATACGTACGCTGCGTACATGTTTGTTGTACGTATGTCACCAAATCATCTCTCAAAAGCCGTTTTCAAACTTTTGAATACCTATATTTGACATGCACAACGTACTAGTTACTAATAAAAAGCTTTTAATGGGAGGTATTTAATCCATTGGGTACTAGCTACACAAAAGAAGTAAAACAGTATATCTATGTCCTAATATAGAGGTTTTTCAACAATTGTGAAGTATAATTCAAATCCTCTGTCAACCATGTTGGCTAGTATAAGTGGATTTCAGCATGTTCAAAGATGTGTACACTGTAATCCAACATTATGGTGTGTTAGTGACATCATATGAAAAGCTTGTATACTGCAAACTTTGCAGAATTCTTTAACTGTCTTGTTGCTGTGGTGTGTTCAAACAACAGTACAACACAGTGGTTAGAGAACACAGCAGTGTGAAGGTTAAAACTTAGGTACAGAACAGGAAGGATAACTGTTGGGAACTGTGCGTACATGAAAATAAAAATGTATCGTGAACATACAATGAAGAACAGCCATTACTGACAATTTGTATAAGTTGATGAAGAGAAAAAATACAAAGAAAAAATTTATGTTAGGCTCTGCTCCTGAGGTATTCTCAGCGTGCAAAATACCTGGTTGCCCAGTTGCCCCAGGCAACCAAATTTACTTGGGGCAACCTATTTTTGAACCTAGGTAGCCCAGTGTGCTACCTGAATTTTTTTTTGCACCACTGTATCCGTCAGATGCTTTCTAATTTTAGGTATTAATGGCTATAACTGATACTAATCAGTTAACTAAAGGCTGTTTGAAATATTGTCAAAGGCTTATGTATGTAACATTTAATTTACTTAATTTGAGGAAAGTAGTAACTTATAGGTGGGGCAACCTAAAATTCTGATGGGCAACCTAATTTTTGCCATAGGTTCCCCACTGGGCAACCTGGTTCAAAAAAGTATTCCCTAATAATTGTTACTATCACCAAATGTCTTCATACATGGCCACATAACACACAATCCTTCCTAGTTCAGTTCCTATATATAGACTGAGTTTATAATGGCAGAATTTTGAACGTTGCTTGAGTTTAATTTTTAGTCTGTCCAGATTTTTGCCTTCTGACAATTTCAATGTCATCTAAGTGTATTGTGAGTGTCTCCTCTGCAAAGGTAATTTATCATGACAATTTCGATATTAATACATTAATATCACCAAAATACTATCAAGATTAACCTCAACGTAACATTACCAGTATTGGATACAGGCATATGGAATAGACCTGCTCTATTGAATTTGAATTTAATACAATCATGTAAAATGTCGACAAAATATCCCATATGGTACAAAATGTACCTTTCTTGTGGTTGGTTGCAAAATGTCCAGTTAAAAAACATTTAATAACAAATTCAAAAGTGGTCGTTCAAAGTCACTTTTGATTGATGACATTAGTTTAAGTAGACAGGCTATTAAAAGGGGAACATGTCTCTTGTATTTTGAATGCTTCTGGTCTACATTGTACATTGTTGCACGGAAAACTGACTTTTCCTAGACAGTCATTGTTGTTGCTGATGGTGATTTAAATTTTGTTGTGCTACATGAAAAATTAGTCCACGTAGTAGAAAAGAAAAACATAGTCCAGCTTGAAGTACATTTAACTGATTATAGGATAATATGTATATTCTGTCAATCATGTGAGAGATTTATAACTTAAGTACTAATTGTCAGACAGTAACATTTGAGTCAATTGGGTGTTTGAAATTTATTTGGTGCTGTTGCCAACTGCTTCTTTGTAAAATACATGTAGCATGAACTACATTGTATGTCATTGACTGCACAGTCTATTAATAGTGTTTTAAGCTCACTTGCAGATTTTGCAAACTTTTTTGGCTTACCAAGTACCAATGGCAAGAACTTGTAGTATAGCCATTAAAAAAGCATATTATAAGCCCTCAAAAGGTCTGATTGTAGAGTCTACTTTGAAGGCTATAGTATTTTGTGTTTTTGCTAGAAAGCTATCTAGAATGTTGCATTCAATGTTTGCTGAAAAAAGCTATTCTATTTGCCGGTATGATTATTTTCTGTCACTTTTTGTACACTGCAAAATAGAATTGTCTTGTAAGCCAATGACAAGGTTGTTTAATCAACCAATGGTGTTGCATTAGGCAAGCTTGATAACGATGATTGACAGTTCTGTGGTGAATGATTGACAGGTGCTTTTTTTGTAGCAGACATGACTCGTGATGTAATGATTTAATCAGGGTAAACGAAAATATGCTTACTGCAAAAATGTTGGTAGTAGGCAGCCAGTAAGGACAACAATGGAAACATGGTGTTTGTTATGACTTATTAAGAAATCAAAGAATGTAGGAGAAATAGCAAGAGTGTATACTTAGTAATATCTGTACATAGGATTACAGATACAAGAAAACACTTGTAGATAGAGTGTTCGGTGGATTACGAATGGATAGAGATGAAAGATATCGAGAAATGCAAAATAGAAGATAGCTAACATTTCATGTGCGTGGTTGCATCAGTAAAGAAGATTCAAGAAAGATGTTTATTTATAGAAATGATTTTGACGAGCGGTAGATTTCAGACTGAGGAAACTTTATGATTGTAGAGGTTGGCTAAAAATCTCTGTAGTGTTGTCAGTGTCAAATGTTGCATTTTGATCCATTGTAACAGTGCTTAGACAAGTAACAGTCCTTAGACAAGTAAAGCCTCAGTCACAACCCGCTGTGCATGCTTTTTGCCCGTACGTTTTATTGGGAGGCCACGTTTGCTATGTTTTTCTGAAAACATGGGGAAGGAGTGGCGTCGACGCACGTCACTTGCACGGTTTCTCATTTGTAAGAGTGTGGTCTGCACGCCACGTCTGGCCATCGTTCGTTGCGCAAGTGGTGAGTTGTACGTGCTTACAATGTACGATCTCTCTGCGATAGCAACTTTACCGTAAGTAGGCCGTACTCACACGTGCATCTTACGTATGGTACGTACGGGGCACGCGCGTCGCCCGTAGTCACACAGATGGTGAATCCGCAGACCGCATGCAGGAAAAGTTTTACATGCACTTTAAGTTCTACGGCGTGTCTGCGTGCTCCCAAATCCTTAGGATTCCGTATGGAGGGGGTACTCACCACGCACGGATGCCCTACGTTTTCCCACGTTTTTGCACGTAGTCACAGCACGCAGAAGCACGTACGGCGGGTTGTGACCGAGGCTTAACCTTACAGCCATATGTTGGGGAATACAATAGTCTGTCGTATGTACAACTAACATTTCAGCCAAGATAACATGAACCAGTATGTGTGTGGAGCCAAACTTTTGACATGACTCTTACATCTTCCAGTATCTGTATTCAGTGCCATCTGCGAGAACCATTATAACAGGCAAATTCTCTACAGAAACATGGCTTCCATTTTGTAAGTGTTCATGTATATATGCAGGGCAATATTATTCTAACAGTTGAGCTTGATAAGCTGTTTCACTGTTCCAACTGTGCATGTGTGAGGTCAAAGGTGAAGGCTTATAAACAGTTCTTGTCTAGACCATGTGATCTGCATTAGGAAATCACCTCATTTGCATGTTCGTGATATTTAAATGGTACCCTTACTGACCATGCTTCATGTCCAGACATGTTTTGTTTATAATGTCCCAGGAACCTTCAACATTGCATCATGCTGTGAGTGTGCATGTGCAGTTTAAACCGTGAACCAGCTTATTCATTGCATGCCATCAACTTGATAATCTTGTGTCAAAGTCATCGCTTTGATTGTAACATCGAAAAAAGGAGTGTTCACTTTGTGAAACTTGTAGCTTGACTTGAATGTTTTGGAAACTTTACTGTAATTCAAAGTTTGAGTTTTTTTAGTAAAAAAAAATCATGCATTCCCAATATTTCTTAACTCTATTTTCATCCAATCTATCAGAAAATTCTCTTCTCACCATTTAACTGATTTTCCCCTCATTGTTTTTCAAACCTCCACCATTTCTGTCATGTAAAAATTTTGAAGGTCACACCCAGAAAGTGGACTGCACTGATGAAGTCAGTTAAATTTTGAAATGTTTGCAGTTTTTATTTTTGATTGACCCAGCTTTCCACCACAAATTCATGGCACTGTGAAAATGCATCTCTTAAAACACCACAAAAAACCTCCTCCCCCTTCCATATATATAGATCTACCACAAAATTTAGACCCTGCAAAAATTAATGAATTTACCAGAATGACCAATCAGAAGGCTCCATTTCCCATTGTTTATCAGGCCATAACCTAAAAAGTGGTCGGTTATTGGACCGTACCATTATATAGGGGACAGAGCACTAACACTAGAGTTTCTCTGATTGATTACAAAGCTGTCTTTTGATTATGTTGATGAAACAAGGACATGTGGTTCCCATTATGTTAATGAAATTTTTGTTTTACGGATTTTTTTCACACCAAAGTTGGATCAATTTGATTTGACAAATAAAAAACTAACTTCCACTCAAATCACTGACGTAAAATTATTACTAACAGTTACATGCACCAAAATTGTTATGAAAAATCAGCTAAAAAAATATGCTTATGAAACTCTGTTGCAGTTACACAGACAATTTTGAATTTATCATATATCACTATAGTAGAAGTGAGAATTTTATAACCATTGGTAATTTTTTCCTTGGTTGCAATATGAATGCAACAATTCATATCAACAAAATTGTAATAAAATGCAAAACAAAATTTAGCACAGCCAGTCCCAAAACCAAGGAATTGAGTGGCACAGATGTACCTTATTAATCTTACTGCAGAAGTAGAAAATATAAATAATTGTAATAGCAAAAAGCAATTATAGAAAAACAGTATAAACAGCTTTTTGTGTGGAAACTAATGATAGTCTTTGGTGATGTTGTATTGTTACAAAATTGTTTGATTGTACATATGCGAAGAAACTTTCATCTTTTTTTGTTATCATTTTAGTGGAAATTATGACAGATTCAAGCCATGGAAGTGATTGGATATTTCCTTTCATAAAATTAAAGAGGCTGTGCTTATATGTAATAGCTAGAATATATTTTGCAATGTTTGTTAATAATTTTGTGAACATTGTATATTGGGTATTAGTTGTTTGGTGTAATAAGTCCTAAGGTTATCACGAAGATATGGTACAACAGAATATGGTATAACAAGTTCTGTGTGTTGGAAAAAAGTAACAAAGATCATGTGATTGTGTCGAGATTGTGTCAGTAAAATCATTAAAAAAACTTGACTTGTGTGTTTCTTGCCTCGTGTATTGCATTTTGTTAAAACCAAGTTGAATTTTAGGCCACGGCAATTTAATTTGTTGCTTCTCGGATTGCCCTGTCCATTTTTTTCTGATTTACAAAAAAAAAATGTTCTAAATTAACTGTAAAGTGCTCAAGTAAAGACATATTTTGGCCCCAATGGTTGAAGAAAGTCCTTTTCTTCCCAGTTCTTAAAGTTTTTCAATGTAACAATGCAATTTTGTTTCATTAAAAGTTCAAAAATTAATCTATTGTTTTAATAATAAACCAGCGTGATATGTTCACTTCATGGCTCATATTGTAACATTTCCGGC